ACACTTTCTGAAAATATGACAGCAGCTTCCGCCCCATCTCGTCAGTAACTGACGTGACGGGGGTACCCTGCGCGTCAAAATCGGACGTAGAGGGAACCTTCGAAACGCGTCAATATGTGACGACTTGGGAGTGAGAATGGGTTGAAAATACATATGATGTTTTTATGATATATATATATATATATACATATAAAAATTCCCTTCTCACCCTCCGCAGGTGGTCTCTTTCATGCTGTCATGCGTACAGAGGTCACCCAAACAGTATGGCGTGGTATGAGGGCCAAAATTAGGACTATTGCACAACCAGCGGTTGTTACATCCTTGTAGCAGGAGACTATATTCCTAAGATAACTATTGATCTGATTAATGATATGCCAGCACTGCTAACTGAGTAGTTAATGCTAACGCCAAGTTATCAATGCTAGTTGCTACCCTCTCCAATGCTAATGCGAGTTTATCCATGCTAGTCACTAGCCTTTCTGATGCTAATGCAAATTAAAAGTTTCCTTCTCATTTGCCAACTCTGGCCTCACATGTACTGGGGCCAGCTGCATAGTTACCGGTGCTGGCAGATCAATAACTGGCTTAGGTATACATATATTCTCCTGCTACAAGAATGTAGCAACTGCTGGTTGCTCAGTGGTCTTAATTTTGGCCCTCATACCACACCATAATGGTGGGCAGTGATATTCCAAAAGATTGTTCTGCAAGTTCTAAAGCGCTCATGTTCAATAAATCTTAGCTAAAGCTAAGTAAAATGCACAGAATTGACTCAAAGTTCACCAGAGTAGATTCCAGCCATAACATGAGCCACTTTTGTATAATACTGCCAACTAGAGGCAAATCAATTTATTTTTACAGCATTGCACATAATGCCGCATTTTGGGGAGGTGACTTGTTGAAACAGACTTTTGGCTCATTGTGATAATAAACAGTTGTGGATTGCTATTTCTGCTGCTTCCTGGTMATGTTCTTCTGTTTATGGTTGGACTTTGGTATGAAAACATACAATATATTAGTAATTTTAAACTGTTTATTGGATAAATGAAGTGATGCATTGTGGGTACAGGATGGATTGAAAAACACGGAAGATAGGAATCTGTCTTCACATCAAAATAAGAACATGAATTTAAACTTTTCCCTGCTAAGGTTTTGGCTCCAGTTGCCGCCCCTTCTTCATGAACATGGTTCTAGTCTGGTTCGAGCCTGTTCGGTTCTGCTCAGGTGTGTGTGTGTGTGTGTGTGTGTGTGTGTGTGTGTGTGTGTGTGTGTGTGTGTGTGTGTGTGTGTGTGT